GCGAATAACGACAGAATGTTCATGCCCAGAGCAAAGTCCCATCCAACTGTAATACATAGAATGAGACTTCGGGTATAACGACACTTCGCGAATAAGGACACTTTTCTGATGCCCCGCCGAGTGTCGTTATAAGCGAAGTTGACTGTATTATAATAAAAAGGATGCTTATCATGCGAGACAGGCAGACATTTCTCAATGTGAAGACTCCATATCATGGGAGGTGCATACTAATTGCGAGAATATGGGGAGGGGGGGAGGAGAGGTTGTCACGAGCAGGGCTACAAATACAAGCTGCAGGGAGTAGGCCTCGACCAAATTATGCTTGCGCATATTTCCGCATATTTTGTGAGACAGTTCATTATGGCATATTGAGCGACAAAGGGAATATTGGAATGAAGCCAGCATATAATTCAAATATTCTGAAGAAAACGAGGACAAAACATTCATATAATATGGACAAAATGCGTTCAGAAATGCCTTTTATGGATGAATTTGGAATGGTTGAGGCGTTTGCTACATTTCCCCATGGATGAACACTATCGCTACGGTTGCTGGGGACACACCCCAGCCATACTATTCCGCATGTGTTTTGATTTGCACCATAAACATGATAGCCGTGAGGCCAATGAATATTCCAAAGTTGTAATTTTACTGAAATGATCTACACTTTCTGCTTATGTCGAGCATATTTTGGCATATTTTGGCATATCTTTTTGCATATCTTGCTAAGCCTTTGGCCTATTATGGACGTTTTGCCTGATATGCGACGAGCATAATATGCTCTTTTTTTTAGCATATTTGGTCGAGGCCTAGCAGGGAGCCTTCCGAGTCCACATAATTATTATAATTATTATCTTGTATTAATTGCAACATCTCAGGACTCAGTGGAAACACCGGCCAATGTGAAGAGAGTGGGTGATAGCCCTCCACATACAATGTACATGTACATGTACATTGTAACAATAGCGAGAGTTCCCAGATTACCTAGAGTGCTCAGTCAACACCACAAGGATGGAGCATTACCATTTACCACAAAGGCAGAAGAGAACAGAGACAACCGGCTAGGTCATTGTTGTAACGCTGCGTTTCATGCACATACACTGTAGCAAAGCTAAGGCAATCCTCAGACAACTCCTGCCTTTGTACTAGTACATTGTATGCGGAGGGCTCCCTGGGCATGAGCAATCATGCTCTAGACTAGTCTCCATCACTGAGCAGTATGGGACCACACAACCAGGCTGACTGATTCAGTGAATACAACGCCTTTCGAGGGGCATTCCTTTCCGGTTCATCCCGTGATTTTGTCCTCCATATTAAACCTTGTTGTTGTAACGTTAATTGATCCATCTCTCTGTTTACATGAAAGGTTTGTTGTTGAGTGCCAGGTGAGATAATAATTGTGATGGAAATTTAGCAAAAGCTACCGCTGGTGACAACCAGGGAGCCATTATCGTAGACCGTGAACTACATTGTACATGTATCTGAGAAGCTCAGAGCCGCTTGGCGCAGAAGATGAGCTCGGGTTAGTTGCTGCGGAAAGTAATAATAGTTTCATGCCCATGCAAATTTCTGGTTGTCACCAGGGCTAGGGAGTCGTATATACACGACTCCCTGGTTATCAGTTATCACTGATGTTGAAGACAGCCATCATCATGATCGACATGGCATGTATGCCATTGTATGGGCATGAAAGTCTGGCTCTGACTCTGAGTGGCAGCAGATACTGTACCTGGATGTTGTCCTCACTTCACCCGTCCTGCCTGTTGCACTGTGGTCCATACTATAGTGGACGTTCGGCGAAGTGTCATAGTCCAAGTCGCCTACCGCGCGTACCGCGTCGACGCAAACATTTTTGAATTTCAGGGCTCACAGTCGGTATGCAGGATCGACAAAAGCGTCGTGCGAGGGCGGGTTTGGTGCACGTGAGTCGCGTGACCCCACGAGAGCACAGATCATGGTGTACATCCTACGCATCCCAACAGAACAAAGAAGTAAAGAGAAAGAACCTGGGCTTGAGTAGCCTGTTCTTGTCTTGTAGATCTATAGAGCCGATGTTCGCGATATTTTGGTCGGACCTGTCCTTTCCTCGCTTCTCTTGGCATGCAGTGTCAAACCATTCTCGTTTCCGTTCGTCTCGATCTTGTGCTTTTACGATCGTGCATACTCCAGTGGAAATAGTTTGCTTTATTATTTTCACTGGGAATTGCACTGCAACACTGAACAGTTACTGCCAGCCCTCGGCAGCGACTTGCCTTTCACTGTGCCTTGTAGAATTGGTCCACCGAAGGAGAAGGCGAAAGGCAACCTGTGCTAGTCCCAGGAAATTCATGTCATGTAGCCGCTGTTCGACCAAATGCTGATGCTACAATGAGCGATCGCGATATTCCACAGGTAAGAAGACAAACAAACGAGTCAGAGCTCGCCAGGCAGGTAACGCCGAGAACATACAACACGGAGCTGCTGATCGGATGGAGGCGAACGGGACCAGCAAATCCGCCAGGCGTTAGTTGAGGGCCACTAAAGGCCAGGTTTCCAGAGGTACCAGTTCCTCCATGATGGCGAAATGCGCTGCCACAAGAACTCCAGCGAGAACGAAAGCACAGCAACCAACTCCGCGGGCGAACTGAGGAGAGAACACTGAAAAATCTGTGCGCAATGATTTTCTGTTGGACGGCGCGCGTTGCTGTTCCGCTGCATGCATGCGTTTTTCTTGTTGTTTGATCTGGTGCTGCTTTTGCACTTTTGGCGTTCTGCGCGCTGAGTGGCACTCACTCAAAAAATGTCCACTACATCTCATTCTTGGCGGATTTTGATCATCTATGGCTTATTTTTTTCAGCGTGGAATTCTCCAGACATTTACCGATCACTTTTCCGTTTGCTGTGCCGAAATCGAAGCCAAAACGACCAGACTTTGGCTAATCCGTGCCGGAAAACTGGAGGGAAAATGGTGAAACGCTGCGGTAGATCACTGAGTTTGGGGGTTTTGAATCAGCACAGCGAATCCCAGCTTCGTGGACATCAGGGCCGATGTAGTGGACAAGATCAAAGATTTGAGAATAGAGGAGAATAGAGGCCTGTGATTGGTCAGTTGTCATCACGTGACATCCGCGCAAAGCCGTGCGCGACTCCACGCTTTTGTATTGGACTGTGAGCCCTGAATTTTCCAAAAATGAAAGGAGATGATTGTACTGAAAGAAGTGAATACTGAATTGCCATGGTCTTGGCCGATTGGTGGCAATCGAATCAGCTTCACGCAGGGCGTGGTGGTTGTAGTAGGTCGCTCTTCTCTTGAAGCGTGGAATATGACTATGGACAGGAGAAGCTAGCCGTCTGAACTTCAGCTGCACAACAGATAGGTACGTGTTTACTAAATTTTTAGTTCCGACTTGTGAACTGTTTGATTTCATCACTTACTACAATTATGTACTTTTGCTCTGACCTCCTGTCGTTCGCGTTCATCAGTAAACCATTCATTGTCACTGGCCCGAGGGTTAGAGCTCTCCACTAGGACATAAGATTTTCTAGCCTAGGGTACATCGACTAAAATAATAGGAGTTGGCATTGCGCTGCTGAACATTGAAAACTGTCTGCATTTGAGTTAGTTGATTGATTGAACGAATTCGGTTGCGGATTTTGTTTTCGCATCCGTCGCCAGTGCCGTGATATCGATGTGGTTTGACACCAGATACATGGAAGGACGGCTGTGAGTGTGACAGGGACAGCGAGTGAGTGTGTGAGTGTGACTGTGGTGTACGATGTACTGTATGCAGCCTGTGTTATTACTGTAGTTACTAAGTTAGTGTTGAAGCCCTGTGGTTGTGTGGCAGGGTGTTTGTGCGCGCGACATAAACCGGTGTACTGTCATTTACTTGGCGTGCCAGCGCCGCTCAGCACGTGCTGTAACATGGTAGTGCTGGAATGCAACCCTAGAAAAATGGAAATAAGTATGTGTCAGTAATATTGTTGTGTCACCACACTATAAATGAGATGTGTCACAGTGTCACCCATCCAATGCAGTACTTATGCGATAAGTTATGGTATCTGGCCAGGCCCCCTTCTGAATCTACGAGTAGTATCTTTACTACTTTATGTATACTGATGGTGTGCAGCATGCTGTTCTTTGCGAAGTGACTGCCAGTACTATCAGTATGCTGTGTGAGTATGAGTGTGTATCACACCGTATACATTGTACTCAAATTACAATAATTTATTTGTGTCCAGTGCTCTGAGTTACGGATTCAGTCTCGAGTTTCGAACACCCTCCGGTTCGGTCCCAACCCACGGGTCCTAGCACCCTCGCACGACCTCGACCTCCGTTCCCAACCTCCCCCGAAAATGTGTGGGAATCCGAATTTCCGGGCATGACTCATCCTCGGAGTGAAACAGGCTGCTGCTGACACCACCAGAAGGAAGAAATGGACACATACATGTAGAAGCGCATAATAGTGTAATTCCATATACATGTACTGTCGTGGACATGGAAATCCGGTCGCACGTCTAGCGGCCCCAGGACGCTGGCCATGCAGCCGTGGATAAGCGGTACGCACATACATGTACGTACATGACTTTGTACATCGTCATGCATTTATGCGCTGCAGCGCGATGGTCGCGTCGGATCACCAGATCACCATGTGCACTGCACGCAGCGTTCTGTACGCGCTGAGGGCGCCGGCCCCGGTCAATCGACTGGATTTCCATGTCCGCAACAGTACAATGTACATGTGTACTGTTTTCCAAAATTATCTTTGCCATGCAAAATGCAACGTACGGGGGCGCTGGCCAGGCGAACCCAAAGCATTTTTTTAGTGACTATCGACTGCATTTTCGTTGAATTGCCCGAAAAAACACAAAAATCTAGAAATGAGTACGGGCGGCACATTTTCACAAGGGAGGGGGGGGGGCGCTTAATCAGTGTAGGGGGCTGCCCCCCCCCCCCACCCTCCTTTTGATAGGACACTTCTGTATTGCATGTCAACTAAATGAATTATTTGATACTCGTGTGTTGATAGAAGAATATTTTTTTACTGCCGAAATCTGCATTTGTGTCTGCCCTAAAGTCTTGCTGCAGTTCACATCAAGAGCGCTTAGCTGAGAGTTTCTTTTTGTAAGACTGATTTAGGGCATGTGTATGTGTGTGTGTGTGTGTGTGTGTGTGTGTGTGTGCGCATGTGCGTACGCGTGTGTGTTCTTGTGGAGTGCATGTGCACGTGCTTGCACACTCGGGTGCAGGTCTACACATGTGCGTGCACGTACGCCTGCTCAACGGCACTTGCCAGTATGTGAGCGTGTGCACACCCAATTGTTGTTTGTTGTTGTATCTTATTTATAGTAGGAATCAAAACAGGCATACGCCTAATAGCAATGGATCCCCTGGGAATAAAATTTAAAGGATGGTGTGGGAAAGTGGAGATAAGAAAAAGAACAGACACATGGGTTACGAGTTATGAGTACACCTGTCTTCTACTATAAGAAGATAATAAGCAGTCAGAAAGTACGATAACTAAGCACAAAACTGACAGACTACTGCGACATTCAACGACCTGACACCTAGCTCGAACACATCTCCATTGCGCAAACCAACAACCAACAGTTACTCAGTCATAATTCGTAAGTTGAAGTCGTAACCCATGTGTCCTTTCTCATTTTTACATTTTACTATTCGCTCAGTGCCTAAGAAAAAGAAAGAAAGAAATTAGGTTCTCCTGTCCGTTTCCCGTTTCCAGGTGCACTGTGTCTTCGTGTCGTCGTGGTGATGCCTCTTCACCGCGGTCACATTCTCTGTTGCCATGGTGCCCAGCAGTCTGTACGCAGCCGCTGCAAGACGCTGTGCATCGCACTGGGCATCGGTGCGCTGGTGATCGTCGTTGCTGAGGTGATCCTGCGGAACGTTGGCGTCGACAACCTGCATGTCTACAACTTCCACCGTGATGTAAGTCCTAGGTCCCTGGTCTGGGTAGCCAGCAGCAATGTCTGACCGATACATTGTCAGTTTGTTTTGTTTGTTTTAATAGCTTTATTTACTTCACCATAAGCACAGGTAAAATCTGCCTTCTTACTGGGCGTATTGCCACAGTTCTCGCACAATGATGAAGCTACTGATATGAGAAAAGGGAAGAGGATAATATTATATTGAAGAACGAGGCACGAAAAATAAGACGGAAGCGAATCAATGATGGAGTACTGCAAGTAACGGATTTGAATCCCCTGCCCAGTGGGCTTGTACAGTATTGTCGGGCGCCGAAGAACGGAGCGCCGAAGAACGGAGCGCCGAAGAACGGAGCGCCGAAGAACGAACACGCTAGGATTTTACCAAGCACAGCATACCAATGTATACGCGGTGACTGTGCATGGACTGTGCATGGACCGAAGTATTTCGAAGTACAATAAACCTACAGCCTCTTTTTACGGGCAAACAAAACACTTCGAAGTACAATAAAATAAGAACGGTCTAGGCTGGGAGGCTGATCCCCCCCCCCCCCCCCCCCCCAGTTCTTCGGCACCCGATCGTACTGTACTAGTGCACAACTGTACACAGGGGTATACTGGTTGTGGTAAAGTTCTAGCCTGTTTGTTCTCCAGTGTGTCGTTCCCCGGTGCCCGGCAGTGCTGAACATGCACAGTGTGCTAGGTGAAAACTGAAAACCGACCCAAAGTGCATCTCACACACCCGGACATGCACGGCCAGTGACGCCCAGGCAGTTAGCGGTACGAATGCCGTTGTTTTCATTGTCGTTGCTGCTGTTTGTTTGTTCGTGCTGTACAGCTGTTGCACCTGGTTCGCGCTAAGGAACCATGTTACCCCAGCAACCAAGCTGAGCGATTTCGCTTCTTCCGCAATACCCTGAAAGACGTTGATGAGGTGAGGCGTGCTACCTGACTTTCTCTATTCATGTGCAGTGCTTATGCAGGGTTCTAGCCATAAGAGGAACATGCAGTGGACAGTCACAGAGGGTTCATAAAGACACACTTGCCGGGGGTGAAGTCGGGGGTTTGCCCCCGCACATTGCATTTTGCATGACGAGACATTTTTTGGAAAAATGGAAAAAATGGGCTACGGGGTAACTGTTTCCTCTGCCCCTGCCCCCCCCCCCCCCCCCTACTACTTTGACCCGGCTAGAACCCTATTATGTACATGCCATTCTTACGAGTTGTCGTCGTCTCGATGTACAGGGACGGGGCGTTTGTTTATTCAGCTGCCGGTTTGGGATTGTGCAGGATGTCTGCACAGGACTCTTGTGCAGGTTAATAGCTTCACTTTCTTTATCCATCGCTGTAGTATGGAGAGGTTTCTAATGCAAGCAAACTTCTCCCTGTCGTGTGTGTGTGTGTGTGTGTGTGTGTGTGTGTGTGTGTGTGTATGTGTGTGTGTGTGTGTGTGTGTGTGTGTGCGTGTGTGTGTGTATCTGTGTGTGTGTGTGTGTTTGTGTGTGTGTGTGTATTTGTGTATGTATGTGTGTGTGTGTGTGTGTGTGTGTGTGTGTGTGTGTGTGTGTGTGTGTCTGTACATGTGTGTGTGTATGTGATTAGATATTCACGACATTGGGTATCCCCTACTGGCTGGACTTCGGCACTCTGCTGGCTGCATCGCGATCTCCTCACTTCATCCCGTGGGACTACGATGTAGATGTGGCAGTCATGCAGGCAGACTTCGTGCCGCGGTACACCGCCATCTCCGATGACCTGCGCAAACGAGGCCGCACCATATACGGCACGCGGGGCTGCCGCTACATCATCAACGCGTGGGATCACGGGCTGCCGCTCATCTTCGAGATATTCCTCTTTGCCAATGGCTCGGCCGAGGACCTGACATTATTCGAGAGATCCCATGGTCGTCGAGATATAGCCCCGTCGTCGCCGCAGGATTCCCCCACTCGCTCTCCGATCATCACACGCTGCAACCTGAGAGACGCGTATCGCTACACCATACCGCGCAAGTACGCTGAGGATCTGGTACGCGTGCCGTTCGAAGGCGTGAACGCCTCGATCCCGCGCCACCACACGGACATGCTGCGTCTGTATCGCTACCCCTACTCATACGGTATCACCATTCCGTACAAGATACGCTGCTACTTGACCGAGCCCGAGTACGCCTGGATGCTCGCCGTCGCTCTTCTGTTTATCGCCGTCGCCATGGCAGCGTGTTACCATGGTGTTGGGGTGTTACGACGTCGAGGGCACACGACAAAGATTAATCTCTGCGCTGTGACGTGAGGGTATGGCACCTAGTTTTTTTTAAACAGAAAAAAACAATGAACTTGAATAGTCTGCAGGCAACCTGCCTACACTAGTGCTCTCATTTCACACAAATCCAAAACAATGAACGTAACAGGAATGAGGCATCGTTCAGCTTCGTAATTCAAAGAGAAATGTTGAGCACACATGCTCTTTCCCTGGACACTCCAAATTCACAACTCAGTTCACTGCATTACTTTCGACGTTTCGGCAAACTGCCATCATCAGGATGCAGTATGAAGTGGAAATCTGGCAATGGAAAGGTGGCTGCTTTCCGCACGACTTGACACTTGAGCGCTAGCTCCAGTGTGGGGAGCACTGAACCAACTACTCTATAAGAAGTATCGGCCAAGAAGTCGCTATCAGTATTTCTTATGACAATGGTGCTCATCTCTATCTCCTCGGCCTGACTTTAAAAAAATGCTTACAGCGTCCGGGTTTTATTTACTTTTACAAGAACTTGTCTTGGAAATGTTTTTTTAATGGATTTCTTTTTCAAAATACATAAAACGGTTTTACTGATTACGTTTTCAATGGAGGTTACTCAGCACAAACCATCGCAGGTGTTTCCATTGTGTGATGTGTAGCCAGGCCTGTGCTACACTGGTGCCAACGCTCATAATTCACCAATGGTGAAATAATAATCAACGGTGAGATGTCTGTATTTCGTGAGAAAAATCTAGGTGCGGCTCGTACTCCGGAAGTTTCGGTGTTTCTTTTAAAACAATAAAGGTGCATAAGACCAGAGGCAGGGTGTGCATGTGGAGCTCTGTGCTCCTGTTCTGCCATGTACGAACTGACACTGGGCGTCTCTCCTCAGACAGCTCTCAATGGGCGTGCACATCTCCAGCGATCTCCCGGACCTTCGTGCACAGTTTATTGTAGGAGGTAGTTTATTGGCGTTGATTTGTACATGCAGAACGCAGGCTGTTCCGCTCAGTTTGGCTTTGTGTGTGGCCAGTTATTGCATTCCTCAAATCATTGACTCGTAAGTGTAGGTACAGTAAAATCTGTAACTAAAGACCACCGTGACTAGCAACCAGCCTGGTACTACAGACGACTTCGCCAGGCACGGGCGGTCTCACATTATAATGGTTGTGCGGTGCAAACCTCTAACTAAAGACCACCTGCCACTAAAGACCGTTTTTTCTGGTCCCAAGGGGTGATCGTTAGTCACAGGTTTTACCACAACTCAACCAACTCAGTGACAACATGAGTCGTACCGCCATTTCCGGCAAGTCTGTCTGGTAGTCATGGTTCTGTTGCTATAGAGACGGTCGTGCGGTTACGTCATTAGTTTGAAATGCTGTGGCGAAGTTGCGGGCCTCGCGGTGCAGCGCTTCACTTGCACTATCGAGTAACAACTCGCGCTGCATACATGTACATACAGCACATGTACATGCACATACAGCACATGTACATACAGCACATGTACATACAGCATACATGTATGTACATACAGCACATGTACAGTACAACCTGTCAAGGCGACCACTCGGATAAGGCGACCACCTGTCCCTGAAGAGTCAGTGAAGACCACTGCCACCAGGACACAAGGGATGCTATTTCCAGTCAAATGACCCTGGACAAGGAGACCACCTGGTAACAGAGACCGTGTTTTGAAGGTCCCTTGAGCGGTCGGTCGTCTTAGACAGGTTTCACTGTATAGCGCCCATTGGCCAATCCGCTGACTCACCGCTGTATACTTAGAAGTTAGCGCCCTGGGCCCTGAGCGACTCCCGGCCGGTACGGTGACTCACCCAGCCCTTGGTGGATAATGGTGGCCTGGGGATATATTTAATTGGCAGATTCTGCTCGAAAAGCAGAACCACACAAACTTTATCGTAGGCAATTCCTTGGGCTTGAAAGTGCTACGTCACAGCATAGCAACAATTTCAAAAATTCAAAAATTGGATCCACTTGGATCCAGTTTTTGTATGGATCCAAGCACATTTCAAGCTGTCTTACTCACAGCAAGGTGATGTAACCAGTGAAACTGACTGATTTGGCTACTGGGGGCGGGGTTACAACTGGTGGCGAAGTAAAAGTCACCCCTGCATACGACATGAGTGGGTTGCTATGCACCCACATACTGAGGCAATAGCAAAGTCACACCTTAGTGGATCCAAAATAGAAATCTGATGTCAACTTAGTACTCCCTGGCCGTTTTTGACGTCATCACTTTCAAGCCCTATTCTGCTCCATTTCCAAGTCAGTTTAACCAAACTCCAAACATCCATGAACTAACGTTTTAAAAATTGCGACGCACCAGAAAAAAATACCAAAATATTAAATTCTGCTAATTTTTCTACTGGCATTATCATGATGATCCGCCAAGACTACTTACTTACAAGAGCCCACTGGCCACTGCACTACGCCAGTCCCGATCACCCCCATGATGATTCGCATGATTTCATTCGCAGAACTACTGATGTAGTGACGTATTTGTAGGTCTTGATGACGCAATGACAGCAACAGTCATGATGTCTGTCATCTGGGGAGATGATTCTGGTCTCGAGTCACGAATCACGATACGAGTCGAGACGGAGCAGGAAGGCACGGATTTTGATGGCGATTCGAAGGTCCTTGCTTGAAAATGAAAGGACTTACTACTTAGGTACTAGTAGTAGTAGGTGAGCGTTTCTCAGCTCTTGCGTGATGTTGCTGACACGAAACCCGCTAACTACTTTTCCCTCACTGCCATAGCTGCTCAAGTAGAAAGGCGTAGTGGTATTTTACATTATAGATCTACGTCGTTGCGTTTCTGCCCTGCCTAAATTAATTATGGGAGCAGGATGGAGGAAGATTTGGTTGGAATGTCTTCTGATTTCCTTGACGGTGCTGGCGCTTCGAGTGGCGAGCCTCAGCAGTTCTCCGTACCCGTTCCGATGTGATCGCACGCCAGAGCAACACAAGCTGGCCCTAGATACCAGTATCCGATTTCTGGAGCTCGGTACGTGCAGCACAGTCCTGACAGATAGGAGGATTAGCGACCCTCTGCAATATCGTCTTATTACCGTATTTCCCCGAATATACGTCTCACCTTTGTACACTAAATTGAATAGATTCCAAGGGTAAAAAAAGGGGGTGCGACTCACAATCCAGCATGACTTACTACTGACGTCAATATATCTAGTCAATTTGGCTAAAACCTGAAAATGGGGGTGCGACTTATGATTGAGTGCGACTTATATTCGGGGAAATACGGTATTGCTTTGCACGGGAAATAAATAGACTGCAGAAGTATAATTATAGAGAATTATAAAAGGAAACCCCCTCGATAAGCGAGAAGCCTTTGGGGAATATTAAAAAAAATAATACAGAAAAGCGAACAAAAAGAATGCATTGTAGTTGAATGTGATTTGTTTTCTGAGATGTTCTCTTGAACACGCACACATCTTTCTCACCATATCTCCACATGAAATACTCCACTCAGGCAGCCATTCAGCACTTCCACACGACTGCCTCATCGCACTGTAAAACCGTCTCTACCCTAAGTTACACTTCAAAGCAAGCGAAGCACAAAAAAATCCACGTGGGTGGCCAGCGCGAGCGAGCAGCGAGGCCAAAAAGCCACTTCAGCCAATGATGTCATTGTCCCGAACGTCCTATTGAAAACTATACTGCTCAAGCCAGGAACATTTAGAGTTACAGTTGAACCAACCATACCCGGGTACGTTTGGGACCAGGCAATGCACGTAACTAGGAATTGCCCTAAAACTCAGAACACGCTTACAAAACTTGCATGCAAGTTGCCCCCTTTTTTATGCCAAATAACCCTTTTTGGTGTTATTTGTTATTCGTTGGAAAACCTATAGTTGTTGCTCTGGAAGACTCAGAACGTTGCACAGTATACATACAGGAGTGCCCGGATGCGGAGAGTTAAACACCACGGGCATGTCATATATTATACCCAGAGTAGATAAACAAGAGTGTGCAACTCGCGGATTGGTTTTCCCATGGCAGAAATTTTTGTTGGCATAATCTTTTCTACGATGCCAGCACTGTGAGTCTTTTGGAAGGTTTTGCCTCGTGCACTTGGCCGGGCTTTACATTACAAGGTCGGTGCCCGGCACGTGCTCTCACACTGTTCCGAGGCAAAATTCACGTGCTCTGTACGACACACGTCAAGTTTTCTGAAAAAGCGACGTCGAAAAAATTTCCACCGTGGGCCGGGGCATCTGCGGATTGTGCAGAAGAGATGCGGAGTTGCACACTCTTGTTTATCTACTCTTGGTTATACGATTGAGGTCATCGTATATGCTCTGTGGCGCATGAAGTGGAAACCCGTGCTAGAGTGGAACTCACTTTGTGCATACAGTTCTGTCGCGCGCCGAAGAACAGAGCGCCGAAGAATGGCTAGTCTAGAATTTCACCAAGCGCAACATACCAATGTATACACGGTGACTCAACTGTGCATAGACTGTAATACATGAAAATATTTCCAGCGGTCTATGCTAGGAGGCGGACCCCAAGTTCTTCGGCGACCAACATGCAGTAATGTACTGTAAAAGCCATATATATATATATAACGAAGTGCTAACTCTAACGAGTTAACGAGGAGAAATCTGTCGTTAAAATAGAAATCGTTATACAGAAATCGATACATATACTGTCCTATTGAGCGTTGAGAATGAGTGAGAATCGTTACCTTTGGTACACGTAAACTAGTCAATTTTGGGAAATCGTTATATATGCGCCTCGTTAGAATAATGGCTTTTACCGTACTCTGGTAAGACCAATCTCCTGCCTAGTACCGTCCTTGTTCAGAGCATGGCTGCATTGATCTGTACTTTTTTTCTTTCTTTTTTTAAAACTTTGTTTTGCTTCGCAAAATCCTGGGGATAAGAAGTACAGTCAGACCTCGCATTACCGCACACATCCGTTTTCCACAAACATATCCGGATAGGCGAGGGAACTGGATAATCGAACACACATACTGTATGTATGCATGGCATATACTGTAAATAATTGGTAACCAACGGTTTCTTCCGGATGGCGAGGGATCCGGATAAACGAGGACCGGGTAAGCTAGGTCTGACTGTACCCCCATACATGTGTTTATCGGTAGTACACCTTCCTGCTACCGATGGGGTGTGTTTTGTCAGAGTAAACCAGGAGCATTGGAAGGTACCTTACGGTGGTACGGTCAGCCTTCAGAGGTATTTTTTTTCTCTTTTTTCTACAAAATCCACATATCTCCAGACACTGGGGTGAATATTGGAGTGTGGTGGTGGGGCCCATTAAGCTCCGCCGACCAGAGGTCTCGGCTTCATAGCTCCATGGACGCACCAAAGGGATATAGGTATACTCTAGGTAAAGGGGGGTAGGAGTCCTCTGCAGAAAATTTAGAAAATACAGAGCCCGAATCAGGGCATTGTATTGATTCGCGGGGTACCTGGGGCAAAGAGTGGTACGGTCAATACCGTAGTGACCGTACCACTCTGACACCCCGTGGAGTTCGCCGTGGTTTGCATCGGGATTTGAATACCTAATAATGTTGCATCGAGTGGCTAACCATACAAGCAGTGCTAGTGTTGACTGGCAGAGTCGCACTGTAGGGCAGTGTACACTGCTTTGCTGTTCTATACAATACATCTGGATATGATGATGTGCTTGAAAAGCCTCTGTTGACTAAACAGAGCCAGAGGCTCCAAAACAGTGAAAATCGCTTAGGCGTTCACACGATTGTTTTCCGTAGAAATATCGGCGCGGGCGAGGAGGGAGGAAGTGAGCTGAGCGCATTTCCCCTGCAGTTTACACGTAAGCATTTGCTGTCAAAGTGATCCAGTGAATTTCCAGCAGATTGGCCGAGGAACCAGATAAACACGACCGCTCGTGACCAACACGAGCATTCTGGCCCCGAAAAGTCTGTATGAAGCTAGCAGGATAGCTAAGCTTAGCCGCGAGTGCTGTGCAATCTTCTCATGGGATAAAAAAACATGTGAAGCGTGTATCCTGTGTGCACATAATTATGGGCAAATGCACGCATGCTAACATACGTGTGTGTGTGTGTGCGCGCGTGCATGTGTGCATCCATGCACGTGTGTGTGTATGTCCGTGTGTGTGAACGGACACGCTATCCACTCTGCAGAGGGCTTCAAAGTGGAGCACGGCGAGCACACGTACGGCCACGCCACTGAGTTCAGTGCCAACCCGTCCACGCTCTACGGCTTCTTCAAGTTTGGCATCACGCCGTTTTTCACACTGGACGAGGCCGACGCGTTGGTCTTCTACGGCTGCACTCCGCCGGCCATGCGATACTTCAGCTACACGCCGTACGTGTTCACCACGCCGCAGCTGAACAGAACCATCGTGTTCGCCTCGTTGCAGGACCCGGTCAACTCGCTCACCATACGAACGGCGCACGACGCGACGTTCTCCTCCAGCACGCTGATTATAATGACGGCGTCCGTTCGTACCGACGCGGCCGTGCGCACTGCCTTCGAGCCTAACCTGGAGAGCTCTGCCATGAACACGCTGAAAGTATCCAAGGAGCTAGTCAAGCTGGGCAGTGGGGCGACCAGTGCCAGCGCGCTCATGCTGCTGTCGCGAGTGGCGATCTACGCGAACGAAACCGAGTGCGAGCTGTACACGAACAGTACATTTCCGGTGTTGAAGGTGACGCGGCCGAAGCAAGGTGACGAGCCCGTGTTCGGTCTGCCGTCCCTGCGCTCTCGCTACACAGGCGTAACCGAGGATCATCTAGAGACAACGCTGGCTGAGCTGGCCATAGCGGTCATTGGCAAGGTGACACAAGCAGGCAAGTCGCCATACTATGTTCTCGTTTTCTTCTTCTTTTGTGTTGTTAGTTTTTGTTTTGGAGGGCCCGTCCATTTAGCAAATCCTTCTATCCATCCATCCATCTCTCCATACATACATTTGTTCATCCATCACTCCCCCATCTATCCATCCATTCATCTAGTAATCTCCCCGTCCATCCATCCATCCATCCATCCATTCACCCATCCAGTTTTTGCATTTTGCCGTGCATGATTGTGTGGTGTGTGTGTGTGTGTGTGTTTGTGTGTGTGTGTTTGTGTATGTGTGTCCCATATGGTGCAGTGGTATGTGCAGTCGATTTCCAATCGAGAGGTTGCGGGTTCAATTCCCGACGATTATGGTCGCACGCGTCTTTCTTCTCTTTCTCGGACTCTTCCTGACTTTTCTTTCATTCTCCTGGGTGGTTACCAACAGCCAGTGTATGCCGGAGTATGTGGTGTGGTGTGTGTGTGTGTGTAGAAAGAAATGAAAAAATGAAAAATAGGGATTCACTGGCGAGAAAAAGTCACTTCAAACAGCTGTGTGGTGGATACCAGGCTAAACATAGTGGCGGTCAATTCATCAGCCTTGCAAGCTGTTGGATGGTGTAATCCCAGCACAAGTTGCTATGTCTAACATAGCTGTTCGCTATCATCGCTTCCGCGATGGGCATCTCTGAGGTCTGAGGTGTGTGTGTGTGTATGTGTGCATGTGTGTGTGTGTGCGTGTGCATGTGTGTGTGTGTGCGCGAGCACGTGTGTATGTGTGTGTGTGTGCGTGCGTGTGTGTTTTCGTGCGTGTGACGATCCAGGTTATCGTATTGATTATCAGGCGCGCATGGAAAGGTTTCCGCTGGACGCTCGCGAATGCATCGCTAAGGGCGAGGATTGCCTCGGAGATTGCCCGTAAGCCACATCACAGGACAGGGAGTAGCTGGTCTCCTTTTAGGAGGGGGGGGGGGGGGTGCACGGCCGCATAAGTGTAGGATGGCTGGTGCATGTCATTCATGGTTATTATGGACATGCTGAAGCTAGGGGAAAAATATTCGGGGAGGGGGGGGGGGGGGTGCACATCCCCCCCCCCCCCCCTCCCCGCCCTGTGCCCCATGCAGGCTACACGCCTTCAGGAGATATGTTTTTTTAGCAGGAGCAGCGAGTGCAATGTCTCAAAACATAAGCAATGTCGCCTGTTCCCTCTAGCTTACCGCTGACACTTCATGTCCTTCTCATCATTAGCTGGTTTTCTCTTCTTTTATACCTTCCCTTGATTTATAAAATTGTTGGCTGGAATATGTTCGTGCCATGAGCTGATGTCAAAGTGAACGAAATGTTGCAGTGACCGTGGTTGCACAGAGCCATGAGCCCGACATTGGGTCCAACATGTTTCTGCGATTTCCCTTAGTATTAGAGACGTTGCGCACAACGAAAATTCGTAAGGTTTGACCGTCCGGGTTCGAGTAACGAAAGTCGATGTGAAGATTCGTCCGCACACGACCGAAACAGAGGAGATCTACGAAACTATTTTTTTCTGATATTATACAACTTTCTTGGTACTGCGACAGTGAACCTGACACGTACAGGCCTGGAATTCGTGCTACAAAAAAGTTCACACCTTGTGCGAAACCTCACGGTTTACGAATATCATTTAGCTTTTTTTTAAGTTTTAAAATATTTCGTTTACGGTGCTACGGATTTTTGTTGTGCGCAATCTCTCCTTTATGGTCTTGTTCTATAGTACTGTCGGTCGCCGGGTAGCGAAGGACCGGGTAGTGAGCCTCGTAGCCTAGACGTTCTTATTTTCATGTATTCCAGGCTATTTAGGAAACTTCACTTCTCAACTCTCAAACTCCAAAACGGTCTCTTCACTGTGATTCAAATTCAAATTTACATGACGCTGGACAATTGGAAATTTTTCCAGTCTATGCACAGTTGTCACCGTGTATGCTGTGCTTGGCGCAGTTCTAGCCTGGTCGTTCTTCGGCGCTCCGTTCTTTGGCGCCCGACAGTACTCCAACTCATTGGGGTAGTCCACTCAAAGTCCGCACGCAAGCATACGTTTCAGATTAAAAGTAAAGTTCAGGGCAAACCATGTATTTTCACCAGATTTACGTTTTTTCAGTATATTTTTTACTGGGAATTAAAAAAGAGTATATTTTAGGGTTTTCAAGTTCTGTGCGGACCCTGCCCTTATGTACAAGTACAGTAGTGGACAAAAGTATTTGCCAGGGGCCAAAAACATTGTAGTTTTATTGTAAATTTGTAGCATTCTACCCTGTTTTGATGTGCCTTGTATCATGTGTTCCTGCAGTGACGCGGCGTACTTTGCCGACCCGAAGAAGTTCCGCATGGGCTCGGAGACCAACCGCGACCTGTTCATGGTGGTCGGCGTCAACCATCGCATGCTGGGCTCGGCCACCTACACCAACTTTGGCCTGGATCCGTTCGTGGCGGTGACCGACGACAAATTTGGCGACAGCGCTGCGCACTATCTACCGTCAGCCCCGGGCATACACAATTTCTGTAAGTATTTTAATTGAAGAGTGTAGATGCGAAATGCGACAAGCACAACATTTGAGAAATTGAGATATTTAGCTCGGTGTAATCAGCAGGTCTAGGGGCGTCCTCACACAGAATTTCACATTCAAAATTGGACAAGAACTACACTTCAAAATTGGGACCCTCAATATGGATCCAGATATACCGTACTGATCTTCCCGAATATAAGTCGCGACCTCATACGACCTAAAAGCGGCACTAAAAAGGGGTAGTTGACTTGCAATACAGTCAACTTCGCTAATAACGACTGCGGATATAATGACAATTTGCGAATAACGACAGACTTTTCATGGCCAGAGCAAAGTCCATTCTACCTGTATACATATAATGAGACTTAGGGTATAACGACACTTCGCGAATAACGACACTTTTCTGATGCCCGGCCGAGTGTCGTTATACGCAAAGTTGACTGTAGCACAAAGTCTATGGCAACTTTGGGTCATCATGCTGATGTGTTGGTGTGAGCTTGAATTGGCATCATTTGTTGTTGTTTTCTTTTCCTTTACTTCGTTATGGACACAGGCAATGCTGCCTTTTCATCGCAGGGTGAAACGTCCGATTCTTGCGAAAAATGAAAAATCCGAGGGGAAATAGTGGAAGCGTTTTTTTTTGCCAGTATGTTTCTCTGGAAAGCGTGATTGCAACAGCGGTGGTAACGAATTCAAATGAGATACATAATAATATTTTCATTATTTTATTAGTTTGGCGAGACTCCCATGATAGGTATCCATTTACCTCTGGAGAATCCGTAAATAGACAAACGAACAAATAAAGACACAGTGAAACCTGTCTAAAGCGACCGCTGACGTGACCTTCAGAATACGGTCCCTTTGTACAGGTGGTCTCCTTATCCAGGGTCATTTGACTGGTAATGACATCTCTTGGTCCTGGTTGTAGTGGTCCTCTAGGACAGGTGCCGGTCGCCTTATCAAGAGTGGTCAACTTGACAGATTTTACTATACATGTGTGTGTGTGTGTGTGTGTCTTCACGCCATGTACAGTCAGATCTCGCATAACCGCACACATCCGTTTTCTACAAAAAATATCCGGATAGGCGAGGGAACCGGATGATCGAACACACATACTGTGTGTATGCATGGCAAATGCTGTAAATCGGTAACCAACAATTTTCCTCCGGATGGCGAGGGATCCGGATAAAAGAGGAGCGGATAAGCAAGGTCTGACTCTACATGTATCTACTTAAGGATTAGTCACGCTTTTCCGGCATGGAAAATTTCTGCCTCCACCGGTGGTAGGTGTAGTCGTGAATACGGAGAATTAACGTTAGTCTTGTTTTCTCGACGTCTTTCTGTGTTTATGTAGTTGCCTACAAGGTCACCAGAAAGTGTTCGGTGTCCGACTTCTACTGTCTTGAGGTACCTGTTGACAAGGTCAGTGAACTCGGATGGTGAGACAATCTGATCATGAATCAGGGGTGTCGGACACGGTATGGTCATTGCAGTATTGACTGTACACCATTCCGCCCCAGGTACCCCGTGAATCAATAAAATACACTGATCTGGGCTCTAAATTTCCAACATTTCGGCTCAGCCTTCCCTCCTGCACGAGAAAATTGTACCGTACCACACCGAAATACCTTCCGACGCCCCTGTGGATGATTGTTGGTTTGCACCGCTTAAAAAATGTGTTGGAGCTAGGTGTCACGTGTCTTAGAATGTCTCAATGCTCCCCGTCAGTTTGTGCCTTGTTGTTGCACTCGCTAACGGTGTATTTGCATGATCTGGTTACTTTTGGCGGACAATTAGTCATAACTTTTAACATTTTGCCCTCCTTTTCATGCAAGGTTAGTGATTGTAAAGTATACTTTTATAAGTTTTATTCTCGTAGCTATGCAAAAGACGTTACGAATAGTAGCGTCCAGGGGCGCTAGCCAGGATCCATATCGTTTGTTTTCGTATGTATGGGGTATGTGTGTGGTCAGTCATCGCGTGATCGACTGGCTGTCGTCACACATGACGTTGAGCAAGCTCAGCAAAGATGGTCATGATCATTAAACAAGCGTACACAGCCAAGGGTCCCCAAACTAGCTCTCTTGTGAGGGTGTCTGTGGGTGTAAGTCTGTGCATGTGTCTGGGCGCTCATCACCCAAGGTGAACTCCTCTGCCATTGCCAGCTCCCTTTATAATCAAGCTTCTACATTCTTGTAAATGAATGCCGTGGGCTCAGAAGAAGATCGAGAATGCCGTGGAAATAATAATTTTACCAATAGCTGAACTTCGTTGAAATGTGTGTGCTGCAATGACAGCACGGCTAATAGTTAATGATGCTGATTGAGAAGTAACTCTGAGGCATCTTGCAGCTTCATCCGTAGAGAGTAGTTGGGTGGACACACCCATTCCCAAAGCACTGCAAACCGAACCAATTCTTTTACGTACGACGTGTCGGCAATATTGCCATCGTCAGGTACGAATGAACAATGTGATGCTTATTGATAGCCATTATTGCATTACCGGTATCATAGGTATGATAGGTTCATTTTGATTGCTCACTCGCGTAAATGTTGTGTGTGTATTGTGCATGCAGGTGAAGCCGACGGATGAGGTTCGCTTCACCGGACGCGTGTACCTCAACCCCAAGACGACGACGGGACCTGCGTACAACGAGACCATACCAAACTACCTGCTCCACTTCAGGCCAGAAATCAGTTAGACCTCGTACCCAGCTTTCACAATCTATTTTTGAAAATGGTGATGTTATCATTTTCACAGCTTGCTAACCCATGTACACTAAACACGACGTATTCTTTGTGGAGATTTTGATTCTCTTTTTTCGGCCTTGAAACATACATTATTATTATTATTATTAATTAAGAAAAGGGGGTTTGTCAACTAACATCCGCTCTGTTCAGTGGCTATTCACAATCGCGGCATGCGCTGGATGAAAATTTTATTTTATTGTGATGTCGAAAAAAAACTAAGATGTTTCTGGCCAGTCACCCATCGTCAGAACAATTTACAAGGGGCGAACCTGGCCTTTTATGAACCACAACTGTTGCCTGGTTCGTTCAGCCTTGTACGCGCTCTTAATCCATTCCCAAGAAGTCCTAAACAGCGAGCTACTGAAGCGTTATTACCGTAAAATCCCGCCAGAGCGCCCCGTCTCTCCCATCCGCCCCTCCCTGACTTCTTGTCAGGGACGTGATTGATTGTATCCTCGTATGACTCTGTCGCAGTCTGTGATGCTGTACTGCACTGCAGACGCGTGCTCGACCCCGTTGGAAATGTACGCAACAGTGCCCACCCTCCTGACCAGGGATCGCACAAACCCTGCGTTTTGTCGGGTCTGTTCGTCTCCTGGCTCTTGACCTTTGGTCGGTGTACGAGATGCACGAACAGTTTTCGTAGGGTGAGTACTTTTTCATGTCGCACTGAATGCGGCAAGTAGGACTCGCCCATCCGCCCCTCCCCACCTGAAGCATCGAGGAGGTAGGGGCGCTCTGACGGGATTTTACCGGATTATTATTGTAGCTATTTGAGACTGTTCTCGTTCACGAGTCCCATCCTATTTTGCTATTATCAAATTAAACTTATCAGTGGATTTCCGACTGTCGCTCTGCAAGGTCCTGTTCAGTCAGCCCTTTAGGGGCCGTCCGGGGTTACCAATTGTTTTTACAAAACGAAAAGTTTTAGTATTTCAGCCCCCACCCACCCACCCACCTTTTCTGCAGGTAAAACGAATTCCAATAAAATATTGATGTCAATTTTCGACACCCAGAAGTAACTGGGCATTCTCCATCAGCATTCAATAATTATTTTCAAAACGAAACTCCATCAAACCCACCCACCCACAAACGAAAACATTTCGTTTTGAAAATAATATTGGTAACCTTGGACGGCCCCTTAGGCTTTACCTGGCAAGAGGGCAGTGTCGTTATTTGCGAGGTTGAATGAAGAAAAAAATGATATGAAATGGTTTTACCTGGCCTGAAGATAATGTTGTTTCTTGCTAACTGTTGTTGTCTTGCGATTGGTACCGGGTATGTGTGAGGTTGACTATATTCATATTCGTGGATATTTTGAATTCCCATTGAGACGGATCATAATAATTGTACTTTACGCGGAATATTATAATTATTATTTTATGCTGACGAGTCCACAAAGGACGAAACAGTTCTGTCCGCAGATTGAGTAATTATTATTTTATTATTACGCGAGACAAGTAGACCTTGGGCACGTCCGAGTCATAAGATATGTACTCGTCTCCCGGAATACACTGCCATGATATGGACGTGCCTAATCCAGTAATCGCCGATCATGATTTACACTGCACGGAGAATGACAAATTGCTTTCGTGACCTGTACTGGCATGGCAGTAGGCAGTAGGCAGTACCTAGTACCTGAGTTCTGACAGTCTGTACGCGGCCATACCTCCCCTGTCCGTACTTCTGAAGCGCACACCTCGTCTGTGCATGTGTCACTACACATGCACACTCCACTTGAACCTTGACTCGGCTTGAGCAGTTGAGCGTTGAGGTTTGATGTCTCGAGTTTGTGTAGTAACCCAGGCCAGGGCCCCAGGGGGGCGAAATTATTTTGTCCGATTCCATCGGGATGACAGTAGTGCAGTAGTGCATGCATGCATCGCAGAGTCTAGTCAGTGTGATCATGGTGATTGACAGACAGACTCCTCTCTGCGAGTAAAAATATGTGAGTGCGACGTTGTTGTGGAGTTCTGGCTCATTTTGCCTTCTTGTTTGGCGGCGAAAAACTTTCCGAGTCGAAGCGGCTGATTACTTTTCCTTGAAGCTTTATCATGGCATCCGCCGTGACGGTGCGTCAGAAGCTGGTCGAGATAAAAGCGGAGCGGGATCGGGCTAATGAACGAGCAGACAAGGCCGAGAGCCGGCTCAAGAACCTAGAGGCTAGCCTGGAAGAGAGCGAGCAGATCCTGGAAGAATATAACAAAAAGATAGCCATCCTGGAAGGCGATATAGACGAGGCGGAGGAGCGGTAAGTGCCACGATCAGCTATTTGGGGATGTGCGGGTGTTGCATCGGTACGACGGTAGGCGCTCTCACTCTCTTTCCGAATTGGTCGTGCGGTAGAAAAATTTCGCCCGGTCAACGACGTACGAGCTCTTGTGTATGGTTTGTGGACACACACACACGCACACGCACGCATTCGTTGTCAGTGTCCCTGCTCCATGCATGGTCTTCCTGTTACTGTGTCAGCGGCGGCGTATCGTGTGGCGTAGCCTGTAGTGCAGTTCAACCAACTGGGGAGCGAGTGCGTTGCGGAATGTTTCCTTGCCTGGTGAGGGGCAGACTACGAAGCAAAAGTGTTTCAATAATGAGCAAGAAGCCAGCAAAGTACTACAATAGTAACATTGTTCCGTGCTGCGGCCGGCTTGGCCGGGCTGTACCGTGTTCACGCTCGTTGAAAGAGCATCATGATTGTGTGTTGTGAGCGTGGCACAATTATTATTATTGCAGTGAATACAGAGTTTCAAGATCCGAGACTATTTTTTGCATGTTCACCGGTACGCGATCTACGAGTAGAGGGCTGATGATGAGCGTACTGTATGTGCCTGAGTGCGCGGCTCTGTATGTGTATGCGCGCTCATGTGTGTGTGTGTGTGTGTGTGTTGGGTGTGCGCGTGCTCGTACAAATAATTCACTAGTCCGTAGTAGCTATGGTTGACTTTTTGTTGAATATCCAGTTCACTTCACTTTTCCGAAATAAATTCCAAATTTATCTTTTGAGGTGTTCCAGATTGTACTCACATTCCAGAGAGAAATGGATGTGATTACATTCCACCCAGGCCACAGACAAGTAGGTGTCGAATGACCTACAAAATGTCATTGCAACGGCAATAGGGGAGTAGTGAGCTGCTGAATACTTTCTCACTCCAATGTCCATTTTTAATTTTAATTGAGTGTGTGGGACTTTCCAATGCGTAAAGCATTAATTTATGTAAAAAGAGAAGAAAACACGTGAGAACGAGGTATGCAGCAACTATCTACGACTGTAACAAGATGATAGTTGCTGCAGAACTCGTTCTCATGTGTTTTCTCCTCATTTTTTACATTTATGACTGGCTCCGTATCCGAGTTTTAAAGGATATATTTATTTGCCGAAACGCGGAAAGATGCGCTCAGGCTTCTGAAACGCAACCATTTTGCCATAACGTTTTTTTGCACACATCTTGTCAAGGTGCAACATCGGCGTAGAGGTCAGTGTAGTTTCTTGGTTTGCTGTATTGTACGGTGTTATCATGTGTCCCGAGTGAACTCTCGACAATGGTTTGGCCGCGGCATCGTTTGGCATGAGCATCAGAAGCCTGTGCAGTTGTCCACCAGTACAGTACAGTACCGTACCGTCGGGCGCCGAAGAACGGAGTGTCGAAGAACGGTCAGGGTAGAATTTCATCATGCACAGCCTGTATACCGTATTTCCCCGAATACAAGTCGCACCTTTTCACACTAAACCTCAGGGCCAACAAAGGGGGTGCGACTTGCATTGAAACGATAATGACATGGACCTGAAAATATGGGTGCAACTTACAATCGGGGAAATACGGTACACATGGTGACTCAACTGTGCATAGACTGTCGTACATGAAAATAAGAATGGCCCAGGCTAGGAGGCTGACCCCCCCCCCCCCCCCCCCAGTTCTTCGGCGACCGACAGTACGGTAGGCTTGGTCGATGATGTGTTCGTGCGTCAGTCCAAGTTGTCATGCTAAACCGCCGCCTTGAAATCCAGGTGTTCCGCGCTCTTGTCCAAACGTGATTTGGATGAAAGCAACGTTCAGAAACACCGCTTGTTCTCTCTTGTGTAGTGTGCTAGTGCTGTTGTTGCTAGTGGTGCTGGTGCCGGTATATGTGGGGGTGGTGGTCCTGATGGTGCTAATGATGGTTCTGCTGCTGCTGCTGGTTTTTGTTGCGGGTGATGCTGGTGGTGGTTCTGGCAGTGCTAGCGATGGCGCTGGTTCTGTTGTTGTCTGTGGTAGTGCTGCTGGCGATGCTGGTGATGGTATTGGTGGTCCTGGCGATTGTGATCGTGCTGTTGGTGTTCGTGTTGGTGGTGATGGTATTGGTGGTCCTGGCGATTGTGATCGTGCTGTTGGTGTTCGTGTTGGTGGTGATGGTATTGGTGGTCCTGGCGATTGTGATCGTGCTGTTGGTGTTCGTGGAGGTGGTGGTGGTGGTGGTGATGGTATTGGTGGTCCTGGCGATTGTGATCGTGCTGTTGGTGTTCGTGGAGGTTGTGGTGGTGCCGGTGCCGGTGGTAAGCCTGCTGCTGGCGGTGATTTTGTTGTTGTCTGCCCTGTTGCTGATGGAGGTGTTGGTGCTGGAGGCGAAGGCGGTACCAGGCTGCTGCTGGTTTTGATGATGTTGTCCTTGTCTTCATCACAAAACCAGAATTGGTTTCCACTCCGTGGACACACACACACACACACACACACACACACACACACACATTCACACACCCATACACACACACACAACCACGCACGCACACAACTGCACCACACAAATACTCTCTCACACACTCATCATTGATTTCGTGAATCACTCTTGCTTCTCTCGTATCTCCATGGCATCTGCTGACTGCAGTGTGAAGACGACAGAGGAGCAACATCGAAAAGCCGATGCAGAAGCAGATGAGCTAGAACACAAGGCGAGGCGTACGCTGACGCTCTCCGGCACGGACACGGCAAAGGCAAGCGCCATGACGGCAAAGTGGAAAGTAGCCAACAAGCGGGCGGAAGAGAGCGAGGCCCTCTTCGAAGAACTAGAGAATAAGGTTAGCATGATCATCCGTCGTCATTGTCTTTGCTGTTGTACATTGTTTGAAGTATGGACAGAGAAAAAGACCTAACAGTTACTACAGTGGAGATTGGATATAACAACACTCCTTCGGAAGAGAACAAAATGTCACTATGTTCGATCTGTCATTAAACCCGATCTTCACAAAGGACTTACTAAACGACTTGGGCAACAGAATTGTGTCGCTAAACTCAATCTGTCGTTGTATCCGATCTCCGCTGTACCGGTAGTTCTAGTGTACTCTAGTCGAATTACGATGAGGCCGTCGTGGCTTCTGTGGGTAAACTCGCCTTTCTTATACTACTCAGATGGTGATGAAGTTGATTGTTCGAACTAGGCCAAGGAAAAAATTGTAACTTTGGAAATTGTGGGCACAAGACAGTTTTGTGCTAGATTGTGCACGCCTGACTGTTCAAAATCTGGTTTAGTTGGTGGACTCGATCGCATAACTTGTGCCCACAATTTCCAATGTTACAGTTCTTATAATACAATAATCTCTATGTAAAGGATCTCCCAGACAAGCGGCTCTCCTGATGCAAACCATGCAATAGAAATAAACAGTGAGGAAAACTGTATGCTACATAATGAGCAATAAAACAGGGCTAGGTTATTCTAAATAAACCAATTAAATGGCCAAGGATTTACCACTACAGTCAAATTAAAACTTTTCCCATGAAAGCGGAATTGCTGCTGAAGTTTAGAAAGTGAATCTTCGGATGTCAGCCTTGGTGGAAGGCAGTTCCACAGCCTACCGATTTTATGCAGAAAGAGAAAAGAAGAGATGCGGCCATGAGAATTGAAAATCAGTTTGTCTGGTCGGCGTGCGCTAGAAGAGATATTGATGTCAAAGCGGGATAGATTCTTGAGGCCTCTGTAGTTCACTAGGCGTCGAGGTAGCCCACGCCGGTTCTTCCTGACTGTGCCGCACATCACCGCCCCGTTCTCAGCCACATACCGTGCTAGCTCGACACTGGTGTACCAATTGTCGACACATAATCGATATCCCTAGGATACAAATGGTTCCAACAGCTTAGCAACCACTGCAAGGAAATTTTCCAATCTGACGTATCACGTCAACATCGAGGGTTTCAACACCCTAGAGTATAGACGATGAAATTGGACATATACCCCGAAGATTCGCAGAGAGCGAACACCTTTATACCAAAGCGCGCTCTCTTTGACAGGATATACTGCCTAAACGGGAGTTGACCACACCAAACGACCAGCTCTTCATCGATGGAGATGTTCATCCATGGGGTGTATGCTTCCAGGAACCGATTGGTTATCATCTTCAGTAGAGGTCTCACCACCTTCCTCCATTCACCGTCAGCGTCGGCCGTCTGGTTGCTGGCGAAATGGATGAATGTCGAAATTACACACCAGCAATCTCGTGGCATAGACGAGTTGAACAATGGTGTGGCGAGAAGCGGATCATTGCTTCAGTACATGTCGATTTCAGGCTCGACCACAACCCCATAGTCAAGTAAAGAGCCATATACACTTTCATCTCTGGCTTCATCACAGGAGTCCACTTTCGTGTACGGCTTGCTGGCAGCAGTTGCTGGCCATGCTGAGCCGGGTATTGTTCAGCTCCGAGACTTTGTTGATGGCATGACATCCTCAGCTTCATCATCTTCCCCTCTCCCATGGTCGTCGATATCTCCCTCGCCATCTGAATCCAAAAACAGCAGCAGGAGGTGAGTTGTCGTCATCAGCAGGACGAATCTCAACTTCCGCAGCTACAGCACCAGCTGCTGACGCTTCGTGCTCACCTGATAACCACTCATCAAAGTCGTAGTCAGAGCCATCCAACGACTCCTGGTCACTGTCTGTGTCCAGGCAGACCAGAGGAAGAGCATCAGCGGCAGATACTAGTAGACGTCTTCTTGACGTATCGAAATTAAAATCACATGATATTTCAGAATGTTCAAATTTTGATCGCGCTGCACGGCCAAATTTTAGTCCCTGCTTTCGATTTTTGCGCCACACCATCAAGGAAACGTGGACGGCATGCCAGCCAGTTTTCAGCGCTCTACACGCTGTTGGAGCGCGTCCTCGAGCCGATCTCTAGACCATACTTCTGTAGTACATCCATGACGTCTATAGACGTCATCCACGCACCGGCGTATACAAGTAGTCATCCGCGCACGGGTGTCATTTTCAATGATACCTATAGACATCATGCGCATTCAATGGGTTATGTAGTGGACAAACTAGGAGTAGTACGGGTGAGCGTGGCTCGTGCATGAGAAGATGGAGATTGGCAGCAGGGGTGAGATCTTGAACAGAACTGGTGATTGAACATAGCGGAACTGATGGGAGGCAAGTGAAATAGTGGAGAGATCTATCAAAAGGGGACCCCGGGCAGCGGCCGGCTCTTGCAGTTGGTAAATGCCAGCTGCGAGTTTGCCGAAAGCTATAGCCTGCATCGACTCTATTAGAGGTGGCAAGCGTTACAATATATGAGGCGGGGCGTAATTGTGGTGGATGAAGAAAGCAAACGCGATGTTTTTAAATTGTTGTCGTCGTCGTTGTTGCTGCTGCTGCTGCTGGTGTTGTTGTTGTTGTTGTTGTTGTTGTTGTTGTTGTTGTTGTTGTGTTTCCTAGGTCCGTGTGCTTACAGAGGACCTGGACACATGCGAGGAACGTGAACAGGAATATAAGGAAGCCACGCAGGCAAACGAACAGAAACTTCTGACTCTGACGGCTGACACACGATCGCTGCAGGTTCAGACGAACAAATCATCCGACTACGAACAGCGCCTCCAGAGGAAAGTCGATGTGAGTGATGTGTCCATAAGAAGCCTCTGTTTGTGTGTTGTGCGATTATGCGTGTGTGTGTGTGTGGGTGAGTGTAGGTGTGGGTGCGTGCATGAGTACGTGGTGTATTATGTGGTGTTGGGGGGGGGGGGGGTGGGGGTGCTTTTGCGTTCACCACACATTGAAGTTAAAGCACAACAGGTCTTTGTGTGTGTGATACACATAGCTAACTTTGGCATAACAGACCAAATGTCTTGCAGTAGAAGTTTAGTAGAGCACTATTCCATGGGATTGTGTAGCTCGGCAGTTGTCTGGGCTCTGTATAATATGATTAATTCTAGACCGTCCTCAGATTGAGTTGGTCCTGTGAAATTGACCACCTTGGACTTCCTCTTCTCTGGCTCTGAGAGTTCTCCTTGGATTCCTATCGGCCCTAACCTTAGTTCCGTGTCATGGTCTGATGTGTTTTCAGCTGTGTCTACAACCTTGCCTTCACCCCTGTCTTACAAATGGTGTTGGAAGGAAGGTTCGAAGGTTCGAATGATATTCGTTTCGAATTCAAAAGATTAAGCAATGTTCAATTGAAACGAACCTTCGTGCACACATTTTACTCGTACACGCTGCACTTATACGCGCCTGAGCTTTGCGCTCTGGTCAACGTCGCATATGTGTGTCATGTCACACATTGCAGGGTTCTAGCCAAAGGGGGTAGGGGGGGGGGGGCAGCACCCCCCCACTCTGTTTGCGCCCCCCCCCCCCCCCTGTGAAAAGTGCCGCCCCCCTGCTCATTTTCAGATTTTTGTGTTTTTTCATGCCATTCAACCTGGAGTCTGGGGTGAAGTCAGGTGTTCGCCCTGCACGTTGATTTCGCATTGCATGACAGTTATTTTGAAAATGGAAAAATGGGTCGGGGTAAATGTTTTCCCTCCCCCCCCCCCCCCCACTCCAGGTTGTGGTCCATTGTCTGAGAACAGTTCAACTAGTTGACCGTTGACGGGAAACTAAAAGCTGTGGTTATCATACAACACGTCTGTAACTTCTAATCCCCACGGCCACCCGGAACGGATAAGACGACCGACGCTATGTCGGCTGTGAAGCAGGTGAAACTACAGCCATTTTCAGCACTTTTTTGGCCTATGGGACAGTGTCTACATGTAACAGGAGGATAACTTTGTATACTGCATTTAAAAGGAGGGTTCAAACATTCGTCCGTTTGAAGCAGAAGGATTATTTTCTCATGAAGAAAATTCGTCCCAAAACCTCTGTGTATAGTGCTCTAACATTAGCGCTGTGTGTGTGTGTGTGTGTGTGTGTGTGTGTGTGTGTGTGTGTGTGTGTGTTTTGTTTATGCGTTTTGATATTTCCGTCTAGGACCTGGAGAGGAAGATTGACGGAGCAGCTGAGCGTGCTAAACGGTACCTTGAAGATCAGCGTATGCTGGAGCAGGAGGTGAGGTTCGAACAAGAGAATCCGTCACGTCGCCATCCTAGCTTGGTTGTAGCTGGTCTCATTGCAGGAAATCTGTATAGACCTGGCTTCATATGTGAAAACAAAGAATAGAGTAGCTTGTAAATTCAAAAGAAGGTGGTCTACAAGGGGTATTCATTGGTTTGAGGGAAATATGCATCTGCAGGAAGGTCTACAATTTCCTCCGAAGTCGCAACATCTCAGGCCTCGTTTACACGACAACGATTGAAAAACGTTTTTGTCAAAATCGTTTTCAAAAGAATACGGTTCCACAGATTTTGATAAGAGCGTTTACACGACAACGCTGAAAAACGTTTCAAAAACGTTTCAAACGGCTTCAAAGTGTTTTTCGATCGTTTTCATTCCGTTTCGTTCTTGTGTAAACGGCAAAAACGTTTTACTAGTACGAACCTTGTACTCAAAACATCGCGCCGCCAGCCTGCGCCAGGCCAACTTATTGCACGTGACCATTGCGCGCCGAAAACGTGTTGCAGTGTACACGATTATCGTTTTCGTGTAAACAGCAAAAACGTTTCGAAAACGATTGAAAAACGTTTTTCAATCGTTGTCGTGTAAATGAGGCCTCAGTTTGTAAATTGAAAGCTGCTCTATAGAGTGACTTCATATCTATCACATGATCATACGGGTCGACCATGTTGGTTCCAACTCCACTCAACCCCTGCATCTATAGGTCACATGACCATACTGGACAGCCATGTTGGTTCCAACTCCACTCAACCCCTGCATCTATGGGTTGAATGATGTCGGCCATATTGGTTCCATTGTCCACACGACATGATTGCTTTCTACACGAATTTAGTCACATGACAAACTGATGTGAATACTACTCTGTATACAAGCGTTACTCACTGCTGGTCACTCTCAGGGAGAGTGACCAGCAGTGAGTGACGGAGAGTACCATCTGAAGAGAGCGGTTGCCAGTCGACAAACCACCTGTTATTTGTGATTTGGCTGTGCGGGGGTCTATGTACTTGTAATCATATGAGAAGTGTATGCCAGGGTCATATCATCAAAATGACTTTCTTCTAGAATTCATGTTCCAAAACAGTGGTAGCGACTTTGGCGATAATTTTACAGAAAGTCCAAGCTCTAGTGTGGGGAGTAATAATACATACATACTGTAATACATTTCACAGTTCGCGTGAGACTCGACTGGAAGCCGAGTTTTCGCATCCGTAGGAACGCCACCACCGTCTAGTAGAAGTAGAAGTAGAAGTAGAACAGACCCACCACCAAGTGGTCAAAGACCGAAATCCCATTAGCTGCATCCATGTTACCCTCATGCCAGGCCACGAGTTCCCAATTAACTGTGGGTTGCAGCACGGCTGGAAAAATTCCTTCCGCTTCCAAGCAGGACTTGAACCTGGTACCCTCTGTTTCTCAATCATGGTCTTAGACCATCCCACTATGCCTGCCTGCCTGCTCCTGGGGAGTAAACACTTTCTATAATTCATATTCCAACTCATTCTGCCCGTCCCGGAGCAGTAGTATAGTACTGGTGAATGAAATCCAGTCGCATCACTCAAGTAGGCGTGTTGCACAGCCCTAGACCTGCGAACATTGGGCTGTGGAATGATGGAATGCGCAAACTTGAGTAACGTGACTGGATTTCATTGAGCAGCCCTGTGTAAACCTTTACAAAAGGGGCCGGTTGCGGCAGCTCCAATAGAGAGTGCTCAATACGCGAATGTGCTGAGCACTAGACTAGTGGAGAGTAGTTGGGTGGACACACCCAATCCCAAAGCACTGCAAACCGAACCAATTTTTTTACCTGCAAGATTCTTTTAAATTTATATTTAAATTCTTTTACGTACGTGAAAGAATTGGTTCGGTTTGCAGTGCTTTGGGAATGGGTGTGTCCACCCGACTACTCTCCACGGATGAAGCTGCAAGATGCCTCAAAGTTACTTCTCACTATACTAGTGCACACTTGAAAATGCCACAAGAATTGCAACGGGAAATCTGCGTGCAGTGAAACCTCGTGAAACCTCATTTCTAAAAAAACAAAACGCTCATAACACAAACTTTAGCCCTGTCTTGTATTCATGACTCTATTGGATAAATCACGGTGTATTCACTGGGTATAGCTTAACATGGAAAAGAAGAACTCCCGTTATTGCCAACAGACCCCACCGCTCCCTTGGTGTTCGTCCTGAAGAGGTTTGTGTTTGAACTCGGATTGTGGGGCTGGGTTCCTTCACCGAATGTGCATACAGTACGTTGCGAATCATGCTACAATTGCTTTACTCGGTTTTGGCTGATTTTGTGTGCGTACTACTGTTGCATGCAGCTTGAAGACGGCGAGGATCAAAAGGATCAGTTAAAGGTAGCGTATGAGGAGGTGAAGGCTGAACACGACGCTATGATGGCGGAGCTTGGCGACATCTAGCCGCGCATAGTTGCTGCAACAGATACGAAGCGCTCCACCACCAACGCCGCCCCGTTGACCACCTGGTACGCTGCGTCTTGTTCTACCTGGTACGCTGCGTCTTGTTTTTGCTTGTGTGATTTCCCTGTATTTACAGCTGGCGCGCATGCACACGCACGTGCGTACGCGCAAGCTCGCGGACCTCACGTTTCGGTCTAGGTTGTGTTTAAAAGCAACTCTATTCCTTTCTACCCTCTTTGCTTTTTCTCTTCCCCCCCCCCCCCCCCCCCCACTACTCTCTACCCTGCTCTCCTCTCCCCCGTTCTCTTTCCACACAAGACAATGTGCACTTGTGACACAGCCGACAACCCTCAGCCACCCTTGCCAAAACAAACACTCACCTTCTCGACGGCCAGATTTGCACAGCATTCATTTGTGTTGCTGGTTTGCACAAGCGTACTTCAACTGATTTTCCCCCCGCCTAGGCATATTCTCAGTGACTATTATTTCCTCATGTGACAAACTCTAATTGTATAGCTGCGGTTTAATGGCTAGCCAATCGCATAAAAAAAGCCTCTTTGTTGTTCAAATGCCTGTTTACAGGGCACTGAGACAGCAAGTGTATTTTGGTTTGTGTATTGGTTGTGTAGCTACCAGCTCTGTAGGCTTGCTTGATGCTGGTCTAGCACCCCGCATACTGCACCTTGCGCCGCTCACCGGTCGGTAAAACACCCTACACTGGTGGCGGTGAGGGGAGGTGCATTGCCCCGACTCTTTCTACAAAGCTGCTCAATGTCGTGTCACTCAAGCTTGCGCCTTGCACCATTTCGCAGCCCAGTGTTCGCAGGTCTTCTAGGGCTCCGCCACACCCCGGCGCGTACTTGAGTGACACGACTGGATTTCGTTGAGTAGCACTGTAGTATCCTGGTGATTGCAGTTGTCAAGGCTGGATGGCTTGACACACTACTGAACCAAGCGCTCATCACGTCAACAATGGTAAGAATGAGGTGCAGCTCCAATGTCACGGGTCTCTCCGTCTGAGCCAAAAGGTACAGTAAAAAAATTCTCGGTTTGCGCGGGACACAGGTGGAGGCCAAGTTTTCGGCATTCGTAGGAACGCCACCGCCCTTTGAAGGATCAAGGCCTTGAAAGTACACGAAGCAACGTTTGTATTTTGAGTGTGTTGCCTACCCGTTGTGCCTTCACTTCCAATGCATATTATATATGAGAAGGCGAACGCCCTTCCGCTTGTGTTCTTGATGTTTATTCTATTCCTGTTTGTTTCGGAGGTTGAGCCAATGTAATCCTGGATAAAGAGGAAGGACAAAAATGTAACGAGTTGTGACCAACTGTCCACCAATGTAATAGGATCGTAATACAGTCAGCTAGTGCCACGGGTTTTATCCTTTTCATCAGGGAGTGTGGCCTCTCTTTCTTGTACATGTACTTCGTCCTCAGTGCAGAGTTTGAACTGTACTAGTACAGCAGGCCATACTGGTACCATTTTTAATGGTTTTTTTTTCAGTTTCGGCCAGTTCCATTATTCAGCTGTTACTGCTACGAGTGTTGCCAATGAGCGCAATACAGTCGGACCTCTATTTTCTTCTGTTGCCATTTTGAGTGACATGGAATGCTATGCCTGGCAGGTCTTTCAAAACATGTCAGATTTTACGAATACAGGCACACTCCCGGACGAGAACACTGGACACCCATTGCTATGTACATGTAGATTTACTGTTTTTCCCCAGGGCTGGTGTCGTTGAGTGCCGGCTGAATTCTATAATAATATTATTGATATAATCATGTAGTCTGAATAGGAAGCTGTGCAAGTAGGCCCGGGTAGATTACCGGGAGGAATTATTCACTGGCTCATCCCCAAGCCCGGCCTTTCACAAATTCATATTAATCCGCGATATTCATGTTAAAACAAAATGGCGTCACGATTTATTGAAAGTGGTATAGTTGGTGGTACGAGTGTTCAAAACCATTTGAACTTCATACTGTTCGTCTTCTTTTTGACATGCTCTCTTTCCCTCGTCCTTAGCTTTTGTTTGTTGAGAGCTGTTTTGGCTTTCTCCTATACCTCTGGGGGATGCCAAGTGATGGTTTTGAGAGGCTGGTGATGGCTGTGAGCGAGAGTTTGCCGATCGGCGTCGTCCTCGCTATAGCGATGAAAATACTAGTTACTGCGCACCTGGCAGATATCACAACACGTCGGAGCGTCCAGGAGCAAAGGAATCTTGGGTTTTCACTGGAATCTAGTTCCTCCAGCATCGTGTAGCCCACCGTCGGTGAATGGCGGTCCAGAAAGGTCGAACCTGGTCTTCTGCAGCATCTCGCAGTCCTGCGAGGCACACTGAATACGCCTGTCATGTATTCTACAAATAAAAATCACGAAGTAGTGGACTTTACAGTGATGAGTCTATCCTGTATGCTGCAAAAGACGCAGGAAATGTGACTGGTGTCCGTACACTTGACGCCAATATCATCCCAGTCTTCTCCTGCAGGATCTGTTTGACATTGACATACCGGTATGCAGTGGGTCGACATTGGCCTGGTTTGGCAGCTATCTGCCTGGTTGGATGTAGCAGGTTTGCATTGGCGCGTCGTCCAGTCCGACATTTTCTTGTAACTGTGGAGTACCGGCAGGGTTTGAGAGGTTGCTCGTGCTGTGAACACATCTCTACTGCCTGTCTCGTCCTGGAAGTGCCGTCTCGCCGCTTCCTTGCTCTACAGTCACGCCGTTATTTCGCTTTGTTACGTGGTGCAGCTCAAAACCTGCCCAAACAACTGTGAGCTCGCAACATGGTATGGACAAATTGCACCACTCATTCTGGTTAACTAAAACCGGGATAGTCGAGTAAGCGAGTTCGCTCCCTGGGCCATGGCAAGATCTGTTCAGCGCGGGCTATTCCAACCTCCAAGTGCATAGTCACCGATCGATCCATGCGATGGTAGATGACCTACAAAGAGCCAAGGTCTACGAGTACTACTATTGGATGCTGTCTACATGCAGTCAACAAAATCAAAGTACCCCAGTATGCCCCAGAATAGGGCATGTGCATCTATAGCATGACACAACAGGGGTTCTGGCGGCACCTGTCAAACAAGCAGTAGCGACTAGTGCCAGCTACCTATTGGAGGCTAGCCGCTACAGTCTGTCACTGGAGATAATTATTATGTTCACTGTTTAGACTGAGCACAATCAGTGATGCCCAATCAATCTGCCCAATGTGTGTTCTGTTCCACATAATTATAACGTCCCATCGCATCAACCCTACTACACGCACATGTCGTCACTCTAGCACGACTTGTGTTATTATTGTTTATTTTGATTCACACGATAAATAGAGCACAATAAACGTTAACTTGACCGAAGGTTAAAGGCGACTGCAGATAGAGGAACACATCGAGTTACAGGTACCGGCATCAATACAGTATCAGAGATAAACAAACAAAAATGAGAGGTACGCAGAAAAAACTCTCGTAAGCCCAAGGGGAAGTGGTTGATGAGGGATGAATGCACTCTCCACGCTCATCTACACTGTTCGTGGAAATGCACACATACATACAATAATATACAACATAGCAATAGCATGCACAGAACCGAACAATTTCATGTTCACACATGCAAGCACAGACCTGAACATTAGTACCAAAAGCCGATACAGACAATATCCCCATACACACAGACGCACACACACACACACAATGTCCCATGTATGCGCCCGTGGCGAGAAAAGCACGCAAATCTACAAATGCACTGGATGTGAACCCACGGATTTTCTCTTATAGCAACGATACCGGATCTGATTCTGAATGAAACACACACACACACACACAATACAATCATTGAATGCCCATCCGCAGATGATGGCAGGTCCTGAAAGAACAGGCAGTGTTCCAGTGATGGGGAACAGAACTTCGAGTGGCGAGTGACGTATACACACACACACACGTGCGTGCGCGGGCACACGCTAAAGTATTCAGAAATAGAATCGACATCGTAGTATTCATTGGTTGGGGAATGGAAAGGAAAATAAAACATTGCTGTAGGTTATTGTTGTAAGGACACTGGGAGCACAACAGAAAGGTAAGCAACTTGCTTTGAAGCAAAGAAAGTTATTATTCCACGGATCTCAGAAGGAAGGAACGTTCCAGAATGCTGCACTGGCAACAGGCGGCCTGCATGTGCGCGGCCCCTGCAGTCGGTCCAGCTGCCGGCCTTGCAGTGCTGAAAAGAATGTGCAGTACAGCATGTCACATAGTATCGCAGCCTGGACAAATAGGCGCTGGGAAGTCCTAGTTATGTGCTCACCTACACCACGATGCACCAATCTTCTGAGCTACTTTGGCAACAACTTTGTCCACTTGAGACTCCCATGGGCTGAGCCAGTTGTTGAGGGCTGCACCAAAGTGGACGGCAATGACCGCTGATGGCAAGGCAATCCATGACACACAGTCACTAGGGCATCGTCAACATGGCGCTGAGGCTGGATCGATAAAATTAACCTTTAGGCTGCCGCGGGGTTGACAACGAGGCCGCTGTCTCGAAGCTAGTCAGTCAGCCTGGTCACCGCCATTGACGAACCAGTCGCCACCGCCAGCAGTGGCGGTAGGTTGTGACAAGTGTGGTGCAATATTGACAGCAAATTCAGTACTCAGGATAAGATGAGTGACAAAGGGAACGTTGTGTTTGATATTGAAGTGAACAGGGATGATCACAAACCCTGCGCGTACTCCACCGTGAGTCACAAGAAAATTCCGGACTGGACGACGAGCAAACACTAACCTGCTACATCCAACCAGGCAGATACTATTACGATAGCTGCCAAACCAGGTCAATGCCGACCTACTGCATAATGTCAATGTCAAACAGATCCTGCAGGAGAAGACTGGGGTGTTGGCGTCCAGTCACTGAGTGTACAGACACCAGTCACATTTCCTGCGTCTTTTGCAGCATACAGGATAGACTCATCACTGTAAAGTCCACTACTTCGTGATTTTTATTTGTAGAATACATGACAGGCGTATTCAGTGTGCCTCGCAGGACTGCGAGATGCTGCAGAAGACCAGGTTCGACCTTTCTGGACCGCCATTCACCGACGGTGGGCTACACGATGCTGGAGGAACTAGATTCCAGTGAAAACCCAAGATTCCTTTGCTCCTGGACGCTCCGACGTGTTGTGATATCTGCCAGGTGCGCAGTAACTAGTATTTTCATCGCTATAGCGAGGACGACGCCGATCGGCAAACTCTCGCTCACAGCCATCACCAGCCTCTCAAAACCATCACTTGGCATCCCCCAGAGGTATAGGAGAAATCCAAAACAGCTCTGAACAAACAAAAGCTAAGGACGATGGAAAGAGAGCATGTCAAAAGGAAGACGAACAGTATGAAGTTCAAATGGTTTTGAACACTCGTACCACCAACTATACCACTTTCAATAAATCGTGACGCCATTTTGTTTTAACACGCATACGGTCCATTTTCAGGATCCTCAAAATGAAAATACTTTCCTGAAATACACTATCTATTTACTGGTCGAAGGAATGGGAAAGGGGAAGCTCGGCCTGAAATACATTCATATTTCAGGATCCTCAAATTGAGAATACTTTCCTGAA